TCATAACACCTATATCAAATAAACGTAACTGCACGTATACCAGGGTGTCTCACAATTAGTGTAAGTCTCTGAAATGGGAAATAGCTGACGTGATTCTGAACAAGATTTCCCTTTGCAAAAATGAAGTTTGAAGCTTCGTTTTGGAATTATTAAAGAAAAACACAGACCAATCAGAGCGCGAGGATTACGCGCGCTCAGCCGCTAGGTTCGAACCTGTCGCTCTCGCGTCTGCGCATGCGTAATTCTTGCGCTCTGATTCCCTACGTCTCTATTTCTACGCGTCATATCCCCTACGCCCCGTATTTCCATGCGTTGAATCTCCACGCGACGTAGTTCCACGCGTTATATTCCTTACGCCCCTATTTCTATGCGTCATATCCTTTACGGCCCGTATTTCCACGCGTTGAATCTCTACACGGCGTAGTTCCACGCGTTATATTTCTTACTCCCCCATTTCCATGCGTCATATCCCTTACGGCCCGTATTTCCACGCGTTGAATCTCTACACGGCGTAATTCCACGCGTTATATTCCTTACTCCCCCATTTCCACGCGACATATCCCCTACGCCCCGTATTTCCACGCGTTAAATCTCCACGCGGCGTGATTTCACGCATTATATGTCTTATGCCCACTATTTCTACGCGTCGTAATTCCACGCGTTATATTCTCTACTCCCCCCATTTCTACGCGTCCGTGTCTTTCCTTAGTAATTCACAAACGAAGTTTCAAAACTCAATTTTGCAAAGGGAAATTTTATTCAGAATTACGTCAACTACCTCACATTCCAGGGACGTACACAAATTGTGAGATACCATGTATATAATTTAGTGCTATCAACTGCGCACATTTTTAATATTTCAAATGTCAGTTTACTTTTGCCCAAAGTAAGTTAGCAAATAAATAAGCATTGCCGATGAAATTCTTCAATGAATTATAATACTCTACAATATGGAGTTCAATCCGATTAACAGACCAATTCAGTACTTAATTTTTAATTTCGATTACTGATTTGCACACATGCGTTGGCGCACTTCCATTAATATTACTCAAAATCCATGAGTTTTCAAATTCTGGAAAACATACACGCACACATAAAACACTCGCGTGCCAAATGTAAAATTTCAGACTTAAATACGTCCATTCGGATTTTACTAAAATCTACCGCCACAAAATACCTGAATTGATTATGGAGCACGTTTCAACGATAACGCACACGCAGTTAATATTTCAGTTCAATTAAATTTTACGTCTGCCAATTCGTAGAATTTGTTCGGGGTATAATTAAAAAATAGAATTTCATAGAATTTAACGTATTAAATTCACTTCAAGCGAAACGTGCAAAATCAATGTGAGAAATTTCTCTTTTCACTCGATCGGCAAACGACCATTGACAATCGATAAAACGTGAATTTCGGGTGTGATTTTCGCGAAATCCCGTCCGTTAAATCCGTTGCCCGGAGACGCAAAAAGAAACGCATTTATAATCGGACAGACGATAGGCGCCTCCACATTTCAAACCTCTTTATTACGTGATTTACGACGGGATAATGTCGGCTATTTTGCATTACCATGCACACGCCTCTCTTGGCAATCGCTTTTCGCCTGTGCACCACGTCCTCTCCATGGCCAGTTTTCTGCAGGTATTATTGCAGAACTTTCGTCTTCTCTTTCTTCGTTTTTAGGTTTCTTTGCTTGCACACTCCGTTTTTATTTTCCTCGGCGTGCAACCAACGATCTTCGACTCGAAACGACACCGACTTTGCTTTGACGAGCGTCTTCGTCATCGAATGGAACATACGAAAAGATATATATAGTTAGCAATACATGATAGTTATCGCGTAAAATTTTTGCCTGCATTCATGTCTGACCATTCACGGTCGTTTGAAGAACATCTTCTATAATTGCATTTGCTCGAGGGGAAACAACTTGAAGGAAGGAAAGAAGCAGTATTTACGAGAAATATTATGATACAGTTCGACCTTGACTCGTTCAGTATTATGTAGCATGTACTTGGAATATTTAACGCGTATTTCTTTACTGTTGACAATAGGAATAAATACATTATTTGTAGTCACTGCAATATTTAGGATCACTGCCCCATTAGTTTAAATGCATTAATTTTATAATATTAAAGCATTTTAGTTTTATATTATTAATTGCTCTTGAAATTCAATATATTAATTTTTATTTTTTATATTAAATAAAACTACCTAAATTTGGATTGTGCGAGCATGGTGTCCTATTAATTTATTAATTCTCTTACTGTTAAATCTGACATTTATTTTATACTTTTAAACAGTGCTTGGCATGTGACTTGTATGGAAGTAATTATTTATAGTGTTTGATAAGAGCATAGACTAAATTTTATACATTATGTTATACCACAATTGGGGTACAATAAAGTTGAATTAAGTATACAAGGAATTCTTCGGTTTAACTATTAATACTATTATATACTAATTATAAGATTCGTCATCAATCAAAATATTTTTTGATTGCAAGTGATTATACTGTATACTATTAATAAAGATCACCCGATCAAAGGTGGTATATTTACATTTCTGATGTGATTCAATTTAAGCATATTTAAAGTTGTCGTTGAAATTCTTACATATAGTTACATATAATTCTTATACGTATTAAAAATATTTGTTACGTAATAAGCGCTAAATTTGTGTTTCGATGGATCCTTCACTATAATAGTGAGGCTCATAATGGCTTGTAGGTAAAAATTGTGAAATTTTTTAAATTAATAAACTTAAGGGCTTTTCAAATACTTTAAATACTAGCTTATTATTAAATTATTCAATACGATTAATGAACAAGTAAAGCTAATCATAAAATATTAAGTATAATTGAAATTAATATTAATTGAAAATTATTGTTCATAAAATAATGAGGTCTAATTCTATTTTTTTTTATAATTTTCGATGAATAAATTTATAATTAGATAATAATTTATAATCATATTTAAATAATTTCCAGTTACTATATCTCTTAAAAGAATAAGTAAATAAGTAACATTTTGAATTATTATTAATTATTACTTCCTCGTAAATAATATTAATCAAGAAACTATTATATGAAAGGTAAAAAGTTCTACAATTTATTAATTTTTTATAATTGAACAAATTAATTAATGATAACTTGTTAATTAAATTCATTATAAAGTAAAATTAATAAAAATGAATTTAATATATATAACAAGTATATGTGAATTAATAAATAAAATTAAAATTGTATTAGATGAGTGTGTCTAAAGGGTTTTCAATATCTATACTACTTGTGAATTAGTTACTGCGAATTAATTATGTACTTATGAAGTAATTTAAGACTTTTCAAGAAAGAAAAAGATACTGAATTTTACTCTTGATTCTAAAACTACCAAAGAGTTAAATGAGCTCTTCGCAAACTTTTTATTTCAGGTTACATCCCTTTAAATGCTTTCCTTGAAAGTGTCGATTTTCGAGTTTGTTTATTTATTCTTCAACTTCCTTTTCAATTTCAAAGTAAATATGTATTATGCACCGGTAGATTTAATGTTAATTGAATTTTTATGATCTCCTAAATTTGTACCACAAATATTTTCGTTCGTTTAATACAGCTAATTAGCCACTGTAATTATTATGTTTATTAAATAAATAAAGTAAAATAAATATAACTCTGACAAATTTATTTTGTCTTACTTTATTTTATATTTATAGTGAGAAATGTATTATTTTCATTGCAATTTGTGTAGGTAGGCTCCTAATCCAGCATGGACCTAAGCTTTGATCTACTCTGTAAGTAGTAAATCATAAAATTATAAATCCAACAGAGTGTATGATATAATAAATTATACGATATATATGATATAATATATTATATGTGTATGATATAATAAATTGGCCCATGCTGTTATCAAATACAATAAATAGTTAATTCCATGTAATTATATACTAAGCACAATTTTTAAGTACATGGAAAATATCAGATTTCACAGTAAGGTTAAAAATTGTAAATTAATAGGCAATGAAATAAGAATTAATATTGAACGTAAATAACTATTAATATTACAGAATAAAAATATACTAATACATTAATTACTACATAGAATCAACGTATGGAATTAATACATTACAATTATTGTGACAATGATCACAAATAGCGCAATGATTACAAATGATATATTTATTCTAATTGTCGACAACAAAGAAATACGTGTTAAGTATTTAAAATACATCATTATGCTGAATAAGGCGAGACATTGGAAGGACTAGGAATTTAATACTAAACCTACCGACATATAATGTGTACTAAATTTGAAATTAAATATGAAGTTAAAGAATAAATAAACAAATAACGAAACATAAATTAGTACACCCATTTATTCCTTATCTTAATGAAAATCAAAGCTGATTTCAAAGAATGTATTTTAACAAAATGTGTACTTTGTAATACGAAATTTGTGGAGTGGTCATTTGATCGGTTTGGTAGTTTTAGTGTTAAAGAACTACTAATATTATAGATTTAATATATTGAAGTGGGGCAATGGTAATAAACAAAACAGTGCCAAATGCTACATTTATTCCAATAAATGACAATAAAGAAATACGTGTTAAATATTTTAAGTACTACATGATGCTGAAGAAGTGAAGATATTGGAAAGACAGAATTAATATATCGAACTTAAGAACAATTAATATACTACTATTTTCTATAATTTGAAAAATATACGTTTTTTTTTGGGAAATTAAATGTAACACATGTGTTTTCGTTTTGATGGAGTGTGTATAAATTCTAATAATTTTTCATGTTCACCAGAGGAAAACTTGATTGACGCGTTTATTGATCGGATCGCACTGCGTTTGCGTCTAGACTGCGTCGCGACGCGTCGTCGGCTGCAGGCGCCCGTCAGACGCGTGCGTTTGACGCGGTCGCAACGTTTGAAAACCGCTTTTAGTAAAACAAAAGCATTGCTATCCATTGTATCAGTATAACTGCGTCTGACGCTTACGTCAGACGCGTGCGTCGAACGCGTATAGAAAATCCCGCGTTCAGTAGCATTCCGGACGCGAACGCATTGCGGATCGTATTGCATAAAGCTTTAAATAAATATTAATAAAGATGTCAGGAAAATTTCAATTTTCCTCCGAAGAGGACGAAATGTTAATTGAATGCATAAGAAATTACCCCGTTCTCTATGACATCAGTGATAAAGATTATAAGAATTATTTAGTTAAAGAAAATGTTTGGAGGGAAATTTCGACTAAATTGGGCAGATCACGTAAGTATTATGTTATTATATTTATTTTTGTTAATATAAGTTTTTAATGATATAGAAAACTAGTGTTTAAGTTATACTTTGGAGACAACGTTTATGCTATTGAACCTTGTGATATATTAAAATTGTATTAAATTCATATTGTAATGTAAATTTACTTATTATAAATATTTTTATATTGCAATACAAACTTGTTTATATTATGAGTTTACGTTAAATTTACAATTCTTTTAAAATAGAAACATACATGTGTACATATGTATATGTATACACATATATATATATATATATATATATATATATATATATATATATATATATATATATATATATATATATATATATATATATATATATATATATATATATATATATATATATATATATATATATATATATATATATATATATATATATATATATATATATATATATATATATATATATATATATATATATATATATATATATATATATATATATATATATATATATATATATATATATATATATATATATATATATATATATATATATATATATATATATATATATATATATATATATATATATATATATATATATATATATATATATATATATATATATATATATATATATATATATATATATATATATATATATATATATATATATATATATATATATATATATATATATATATATATATAT